ATGGAGCAGCTTCACGTGCCTCCCGCAATGCTCGTTTTCAATACTGCAATCAGCCCTGACAGCCCTCTCCTGATTAGGGCGGAGTGCTCTCCTGCCCCTCCTGAGCCCGAGTAATTTATTTCAGATTGAATCCATCTCATTTCCATTAGAACAAGTGCCTGCCGAAAAATCAAAATGATGACAAATTATCCTGCTCCCTCAAAGGATGAAAGAAACAGAGGGAAGGCTAAACCTACATGTTTGGGGTCTGAGTCTTCCTTCCCCCATCCACTAGGTCAGGAGCTGTGGTTTACAAGTCCTAAGGAGCCCTGGTGGCACTGGTGTGTTAGCACTGGACTGCTAATGGCATAGGCAGGTGTTTCAAAGCTCCACAGGAGAAAGGTGAAGCTATGTGCTCTCTCTTACAAATTCACAGGCTCAGAAACCCCTTGATGGCAGTGGGTTTGGTGGGTGCTCGGTCTTCTCTCTGTGATGAGTAGATACCAGTTCTGGCTCAGCCCAGGAGCAGACTCTGCACAGGTACTGATCTCAATGAATCAACGCATATTAGTGGGACTTCCCCTAGTCCAGCTTTGATGAGCGCAGCTGGAGTGTGGCCACTTCACCATTACTGGTGGGGAGCAAAGGACAGGAGGCTATGGGTAAGAGGACCAGGAAGAGGACCTGGAAATGGAATAAGAAATGTTAAAGGATTCAGAAGAGAAAAGTCACACATGCAAGGTGAGCCAAGTTCTTGGGCTGAGCAAGATAAAGACAGATTTTTGGGACCAATGAAGAACTACTCTGGCAGTCAGCATCATGGATGCCTTTACTCTATGGACACCTGGTGGGGAGGGGTGGACAACATGGGTGGCGGCGGCGAGGTATTTGTATACTCTATCCAGAAGTAGAAATATTGCTGGAGACAAGTTTCCAGACATTGACATCTAGCCCATGTCAGCTCCCCAAGGACGCTCCTATTTGTACCATTTTGTCTCCCTATGCCCACCAGGTTAAGCCCAGAGTGAAGAAATAGCCAGTGTTTGTAGAGGTCTGCCCTTCATGAGCGCTTTCTCATTTATTTCTTCAAGACTGCATGTTGGTTAAGCATCATGATCTGCTTTGGAACAATGGGGAACCCTAGGCTAAGAGAGCCATGAGCCAGGTCTTCCGCCTGCAAACACCCTGTGTTTTCCATGGAATGGGCCCAGTGCTTAGAAAGTCTGAGCACGCTGCACCATCACTTCCAATTATGTCTGGAACTGAAACCTCTGAGAGCAAGCTGTTCTCTAATAGAGCGGCTTCCTCCCAGATGAGGGACCTTCTTTGTAAGTCAACTTAGTGAGGGGTGTTCCTTAAGGTCTGCCACCAATTAAAGGTCAACATATTTGGCTGCACTTCTCCATAAACTCCAAGCTCATCTCCCAGGGCGATAAACCATGCTCCGGAGGGAAAGTTGTTTCCCATGTTGGAATGTCTGATGGAACAACAGCAAGAAACAGGGGTCCAACATACTCTTGCCTGGAATGCCCGTCTGGGCTGTAAAACTAATCCTGGGAAAAAAGTTTATCTCCTGACTGAATCGAATGCAGGAGTCCTGGTGGAGTATTAGGTTATGCAGTGCGCTGCTAGCGCCAAGGACAGCAGTTCAAAACCACCCCCAGCTCCCCAGGAGAACAATGAGGCTTTCTACGCCTGTAGAGTTACAGTCTCATAAACTCCTAGGAGCAGTTCTACCCTGTTCTACAAACACTGGTTATTTCTTCACTCTGGGCTTAACCTGGTGGGCATAGGGAGACAAAATGGTACAAATAGGAGCGTCCTTGGGGAACTGACATGGGCTAGATGTCAATGTCTGGAAACGTGAATCAGAATCGACTTGATGTTAGTGAATGGGAGTTCAGTCTCAAATGTTGGTTGGTCTCCCAGAGTGAAGACCAAACGCAAACCCAACCCTTTGCTGCCGAGTGGATTCTGATGCTTAGAGACCTTGTAGGGCAGAGTAGAAATGCCCCCACAGGATTTCCATGGCCATAAAACTGTATGGATTTAGACCGCTACAGTTTTCCCACTGAGAGGCTGGTGGGTTCAAACTGCTGACCCTTTGGTTGGCAGTCCAACCTTTGCCAGGCCACATAGACAAGGCTCCTTTAGGGACGGTCGGCTGGACTCAATGTTAAGTTCATGATCCAGCAGATCCTCACTTAAGTGGATGTATGGAGTGGAAATAATGGACTTGTGAATGTACACCTCTTACCTCAAGCAATTCAAGAGGGAATTAGACTGTAAAGAACATGACACAGTCTCAGAAAAGAGCCTTTTGGGATTTCTTTGTCTTTAGGAGCCCTGGTATATAGTGGGTTATGTGTTGACCTGATAACCACAAGGTCAGCAGTTCAAATCCACCAGTCTCTCCAGTGGAGAAAGATGAGGTTCTTTTGCTCCCATAAATATGTGCAGCCTCAGAAACACAAAGGGACAGTTTCACTCTGTCCTGTAGGGTCGCTGTGAGCCATAACGGACTCGAAGGCAGTTTGTTTGTTTGCTTGTTTTTGTCTTCAGTGGTTGCTGAGCACTGAGGTGCCCACAGCTGGTTTCGGAAGATCTCAGCCAGCAAGTGGCTTTGGGCAGCAAGTCTCCAAGAGCAATCAAGTGGGGTCTTGCATTCCATAAGGCTGCTGGGGTGTTACCAGGTGCCAGGAATGGACAGAGGGGAAAAGAGGGGAGCCCTTGCCATAAGGTCGCTTTGGACCTAGCTCTGACATTGCTGCTGATGACAAGAGAAGTGTCCCTGAACTTGCGGGCGTGCCTACCACGGAGAAATGTGAAAGGACAGAGGAGTGTGTGTCCATCCAGAAGCGAAGACAGGCCCTGTGAGCGAGGGGTGGGGCATGGCGTGCCACTGGAGAAGCAAAATCTTCACACCCCCAGAAGGGGCAGTATTCTAGCCCAACTTCCCCAGTCATTATGCCATCAGGCCTAGGTGACCAAACACAGAAGTGGCCAAACCCACCAGTTTGACCTTGGGATCTGTCTATGGGTCCCCCAAATACAAACTGCTGTGTGGATTGGTTCTACAGCCCCATTACAGAGCTCTTGGCCGCCTAGGTGAGGCCTAAGAGTCTCTTCTGTGAGGTGTGGGGTAGAACCGCCTTCAGGGGGAGATGGGCTACTTTTACCTGTACCAGGGTTCCCTGTTAGATGGCTTTAGCTTTTTAAAGAGCAATTTAAACACACACACACACACACACACACACACACACACACACATTTTAAGTGTACAACATCCATAGGTGTGATCATCCCCAACATCAAGATATAAAACATATCCAGCACCCCAAAGGTTCCCTCTTCCAGCCCAGGGGCCCCACGTCAGCCTGGCTTGGTGCCTTTCACCACAGGAGCGTTCTGTCTGTTTTGAGCAACTTTTCCTCCTCCTTCTCCCTCCTCCTCCTCCTCCTCTTTCATCTTCCTCTCTGTCTCCTTCTTCTTCTTCCTACCTCCTCCTCCTCCTCCTCTTCCTCCTCCGCATTCAGTGCGTGCTCTTTAGTGTCTGGCTTCTTTCGTGCACACATGTGTCTATGAGCACCGCTCGGGTCTACACGTTATGCTCATTGCTGGGTAGGACTCTCCTGTATGCAAACAGCATGATTTATGCATCCATTCCATTACTGATATTAAGCTTGAGTTGTTTCTAATTTGGACTACCATAAAGAAGCTTCTACCAAGAGCCTTATAGAATCCTAGCAATGGATGCTTTTAATAAACATCACCGGGCATCTAACTGCTGTTGGGTAGGTGGGCCACAGGGCCAAGTTGGTCGGGTCACATATACCTCCTGCTCTTGCTCTGCTACTTTTAGACTTAGCATTAAGCAGGAGGCAAGGAGGCAGACAGGCAGGCAGCATGGAGCTTCCTACTACGCGGACGTGAACTGCAGTGTATTAGAGAAGAGATGGGGGCAGGTCACTGAGGGCCAAGGAAAGTGGACTCTTGTCCAGAGCCAAGTCACCTACTTTCAAATCTCAGTTCTGCCACTGATCAGCTTTGTGACCTTGGGAAAGCTACCGAACCTTTCTGGGCCTCTTATTCCTCATCTGTAAAGTGGAGCCCTCAATAGCTTTATATCTAAGTGCTATTGAGAAATTAAATGAGTCTTTAGAATTTGGTGCATGGTACACACCCAGTACCCGTTAGCTGACACTGCTATTAATGGAACAACTCCAGCAATTATAAGACAAAGGCATGTGACCTAACATGGTGAAGCTCATGCACTTGCGTTGTCAAGTGGTGAATGCAAAAGTAATGGACACTCTTACACACATGCAACTACCAGGGTCAGCAGGTACGTGAAAGTTAAAAGTTCTAAGATGCATCCGGCCCAACAATTGCCCAAAGTTACCACCTAGAAACCTAGTGGCTGTTAGTTATAAAGAGGAGATATGAAGTTGGCAGGCTTCAAATCAGCTTCAACCATTTGCTCAAATCTTCTTCTCTTTAATGACTCTCAGTTGGATTGGCTACCCAACAATCCAGCTTCCAAAAAGGGCCTTGTAAATGGTCCAAAAATATTTCCTTTAGGGAACAGAGCAGGGTTTGGATTCAGTGTCCAGGGAAAATGCTGCCTTTGGGTATGGACTTGTTTCTTCTGGATTGGGAGGCAGGAGGATGGAGGAGAGCAGTGTTTGAGAGCGCTTTGGAAAACAAATGTCATTGTAACTGGGCCCCCAGGTTCCTGGGGAGAAAGTGGAGAAGGTTCAGTATGGACACCTGGCCTTCATTCCCACACAGGGAGATGATGCATGGTAAGGTCAGCGACAAAGCCCTGGTGAAGGCAGTGCTCAGTGCATGAACATGGTAGTTTGAGCCCAGAATCACATACTGCAGCTACCTGGTTCAGGTGGTTAAGGGACTACCTCTTTCTCTCTTAGAAAGGGGCCTTCAGATCAGGCCTGATCTGAGCTGGTGAAACAAGCAGCAATGGCAAAATGGAAGTGAGTCCAGCAGCTATATGACCTTACCTCCACATACAGGAGAGGGAATATCCCAATCTTGTCTCCCAGCATTCCTTCTGCCCAGTTATCATCAACTCTTCTGATCACGGTCAAAATTTCATCCTGGAAAATTTGGAGCCCACCATATACACAAGCACATGGACACACACACACAACAAAAACAGAAGAGAGAAAAAGGAGACTGGTGAGTATTGTCAAGTCTTCTAAAACTTTTCATTATGATTTGATTAAAGCCTTAAGAAAAGTTTTTTTTAAATTGTTGCTTTTGGTTTATTATCCACTCAGGTATTTGACATGGAAAAACAGCCTTCCATCTTCACCCAAGGAGCTCCTCACCCTGTCCTTAGGCTATTGATTATGGCTGCAAAGAATCTCCAGTGGAAAAGTGTGTCGATTTACGATACCATCAGTGCTCAAAAATTCATGTTCTTATCATTTGTTTCTAGGAGTCCTGGTGGTGTAGTGAGTTATGCATTGGGATGCTAACCTTAAGGTCTGAATTTCGAATCTAACAGCTGCTCTATGGGAGAAAGATGAGACTTTCTACTCCTGTAAAGATTCACAGTCTTGACAACCCACAGGGACAGCTCTACTCTGTTCTAAAGGGCTCACTATGAGTCAGAATCCACACTATGGCAGTGCACTTGATTTCTGAGTGTGGTTTTATTTGTTCAATGAAATAACTTTTAAGATGTATGAAAATATATTAAGCTAAGTGTAAAGACATTTAAAATTTCTGGCTGCATCAAGGAACCCAAACCAATCCAACCCTACTCCACTTATTTAGAATTTTGGATGCATAAATATTTGAATAACCCATTTAACTTCTTTGGTATAAATGCACAAGTAGAAAGACATGGAGGGGGGTGGGGGAGGGGTGTGCAAAAAAAAAGAAAGAAAGAAAGACATGGAGGAAAAATACAAAAAGTATAAAGCAAGAAGGCAAGGTGAACTTCCAGGGCCTACTGTCAGACAGGAAGTTAATGAGGAAAAGAATACCCAGGATCCCTTTCACCAATGCCTGCACCTCAGAAACCAATTATAGGGTCCTGTGGAAAGGAGGTGTGAGAGCTAGAGAGAGCAAGACCGAGGTGAGATGGGGACGGAAAGGTGGATGGCCACTAGAAAGGGACCCAGGGGAAAGAGCAGCAGAGGCACATAGCAACAATATAAAGAGAAAGAGGACATTAGCAGAGACAGCCATGGTGAAACCAACGCCCAGATTACGGATAAGGAGTCTGGAGAACACAGTGGTTAACACAGCTCACTGAAAAGTTGGTGTTTGGGACCCACCAGCCTCTCCACAGAAGGTAAAAAACGCAGCAGTCTGCTTCTGTAAAGATTTACAGCCCTTGGCAACTTCTACCCTGCTGACAGGATTGTTACGAACCGGAATTGACTGCGTGGCAATGAATACCCTAAAGGTGTCTATAGCTCATCTCCATTCTCCCTTTCTGTGAGCATCTTTCCTTCAGCAGGACAGTGGTCTTCTCCCAAAGAGACCGTGGACCTTGAGAAACCCGTTAGGAGTCCAGCTGGTCAAGCTAATATGCTGAAGAGTTGATGGCTAAGAACAGCTTGATGTGGTCACCTTCATTAGAGTGAACGGTATCATCTGCCTTCCCAAGCAGCCGTTAGTGTTTTAGTGCAAAGCAATACTACTGGACATTTAGGCTTTTTTTAGAGTGAGAAATGGAGACTTTTTTTGCTAGAATTGTTATTATTAGGTGCCATCCAGTCAGTTCTGACTAATGAGCGCTTCCAGTGCTGCATTTGTTTGCTGAAACACTTCGACTGGCATTCTGTCAATTCCTAGAGCCTTGTTTTTTGCTAATGCCTTCAATGGAACTTGGACTTCTTCTTTTAAAAAAATTATTAAGCATTTTTTGGGGGCTCTTGCAGCTCTTATAACATTCCACAGATCAACTGTATCAAGCATATTTGTACATATGTTGAGGCATATTTGTACATATGTTGCCATTATCATTTTCTATTTGAGCCCTTGGTATCAGCTCCTCTTCTCCCCCGACCCCTCCTGACCATAACCCCTTGATAAATTATAAATCATTATTGTTTTCATATATATCCAATCTTTTTTTTCTTTTAAAAATCATTGTATTGTGTGTTCATACAACTCTTATCACAATCCATCCATCCATCCATTGTGTCACGCACCTTTGTACATCTGTTGTCATCATCATTCTCAAAACATTTTCTTTCTACTTGAGCCCTTGGTACCAGTTCCTCGTTTTCTTCTTTCAATACCATCAGTTCTTGGTACATGTTACCTCCTGAAATGCTTGCCGATTCTTTTTGGTACAGCGTCTTCGTGTATTCCTCCCAGCCTCTTTTGCTCCTTACTCCGTCATTCAATATTTTGCTCATAGAATCCTTCAATATTGCATCTTGAGACTTGAATTTTTTCTTCAGTTCTTTTAGCTTGAGATATGCTGAGCATGTTCTTCCTCTTTGGCTTTCTAACTCCAAGTCTTCGGTCTTTTCCTTATAAGTCTTTACAATGTCTTATCAAGCTGTTTTTTGAAGTTTCCCACTCAGCTCTTTTATGTCATCTTTACTTTAGCTTTAGCTACTCTACATTCAAGAGCAATCTTCAAAGTCTCTTCTGACATCCACTCTTTTTCCTTTCCTGTCTTCTAGGTGACCTTTAACTTCTTGAAGTATGATGTCATCCCACAACTCCTCTGGTTTTAGGTAACTAATCTTTTTCAGCTTCAGCCTGAACTTGGGTATGAGCGATAGAAGATCACAATCGCCCTTGGCCTTGTTTTGGCTGATGATATCGAACTTCTCCATCCTCTCTTCCTACAGATACAGTCAATTTGTTTTTCTATAGATTCCTTTTGGAAAGGTTCACATATATAGTCACCATTTAAGTTGTTGAGAAAAGATATTTGCATTCAAGAAATTATTGGTCTTGCAAAATTCTATCATGTGCTTTCCAGCTTGGTTTCTATCACTAAGGCCATATTTCCCCGCTATTGCTTCTTCTTCTTTGTTTCCAAATTTCCAATGACCAGTAATTATCAATGCATCTTGATAGCATGTTTGCTCAATTTCAGATTGAAAAAGTTAGAAGCCTTTAATTTCTTCATCATTGACTTTAGTGGATAAGTGTGAATTATAATTGTAGGCCTAAGAGACATTATTCTATCACAGGCAGCATTGTACTTCAAGATACATCCTGAAATGCTGTTAGGTGATGAATGCAACACCATTCCTCTTGAACTTGTCGTTTCTGTCATTGTAATCCATGTGATGCTCTGATTCAAGATGGCAACCCGAGTCCACTTCATCTCCGGAATGCCTAGGGTATCAATCTTTATGCATTCCACTTCACCTCTGATGACGTCCAATTTCTTAGATTCATACATGGGATATTCCATATCCATGACTGTTCACGGATATTTGCAGCAGCTTCTTCTCATTTGGAGTTGTGCCCTAGCAGCAAATAAAGGTCCCGAGTGCTTTGCTCCATTCATGTCATTCAAGTTGACCTGACTTTGGGGAGGTACCTCTTCCCCAGTTGTGTTTTCAGTGCCTTCCAGCCTGAGGGAGTCATCTTCCCACACCATAACAGACAATGGTGCACTGCGATTCATAAGGTCTACAGTGGCTAACCTCTCAGACATGGACCACTGCTTCCTTCTTCCTAGTCTGCTCTGGCTTCATAGTGGTTACACTGGGCTTGGTAACCACAAGGTCAGCAGTTTGAGACTACCAACCGTTCTGGGCAAAAAGATGAAGATTTTCTATTCCAGTAAGGAGTTACAATCTCAGAACCCCCTCGGGCCAGTTCTATACTGTTCTACAGGGTTGCCATGAGTTGGGGTCGATTCCATGGGTGCGAACTGAGTCTGTTCTTCATCTGGAGCCTCTAATGAAGGCTGTTCATCCTGGGTGAGCCTGCTGCTAATGGAAATCCTGGTGGAGTAACTTATAGCACCACGGCACCATGAAAGCCATCACAGTAGGACGAACTGACAGGCAAGTGGGTTTCGTCAGTGTAGACTTAATAAAAGTATCAGAAACCGGCTTCATTGTGAACTGGATGAATTCATAGTTTGAGGGTGTGCAGCCACAGCAAGGAACATAATTGGAAATGCATATACCTAAAATATGTGAGAGGACAAGAACAAGATTTGTATCTTTACTGGGAAGGACCTACAAGATAGGTCTGTCCTAATTCCCTTCTTTTTTTATGTCTTCTGACATAGGGTAGAATTTGGGGGTTATCATATCCCATGTTTTTTTCTGTCCTTAGTTCCAAT